ATCTACAGTGCATGTGTGTTTACCCTTGTTCACTTGCCATTGTTTCTTCAGTCATTCCTTGTGCTAATCAAGATCAACATCAAAGATTCTTATTGTCGATTCACTATATGTGCAGGACATACAGAAAATCGAAATACCGTTTCTTTTTCACCTAGTATTGAATGCCATACCATTTAGGAAACTAAACTAGAATAAGAAAACTAAATTAAAGTAATTAGGATAAAACTAAATAATGGACAGCGTTCAGCATCCTCACCGCCTGATGGACGAAGCTGTTTGTAAGTCTGGTGGAGTGGGCCTGAAGACTCTGATACCTTCTCCCTGAAGGCAGGAGTCTGAAGTGGGAGTGTGCGGGGTGGGAGGTGTCATCAGCAATGCTCATGGTTGGTGCTTTCAGCCTTTAATTTCCCTCCCTCTACTAAACGTGAGCACACAGACGGGACAGGCAATCTGGCAGCCAGCTACTGCTGCCCCTTGGAGTTTTTGTCAAACACTGACCAGTAATGAGCCTGTGATAAGAAGTGATGATGGATGTAGTTGTGTAGTTCTCTGTTATCCTCTGCCATGCTGGTTCTCAGCTGTTGTGTTGTGGAGTGAGCTCAGGTGTGTCTTGAGGTGTTTGTGAAATGTGAAGAAAATTGACGGTAAGGAATTAAAAGAATGTCGCACTTTGACTCCTGAAACATTTTGGCTGGTTGTTGTTTCATAAGTCCTAGGCTAATAAAAGTCAGGTTAACAAAGAAAAATATCCCAAGTGGTCAAGCAGGGCCCTTTTATCAACTTTTCTTCTTCAAGATCCAGCCGTGGTGACACAGGTGGATACAAAACGATCTTAACGTTTTTCGCTTCGTAGCTGAGAGAACGATTCTCACAGCCTGTAAATGCATCCTTCCAAGCAGACATTGAGGAGAGAAAATAGCTTTCTCTGTTGATCTCTGATTTCTCAGACCACCTGTCAAAAATACAAGAGTGCAAATCTAAAGTGCTGTGAAGAAACGCTCTAAAGACGGCAGTGGTTATTACAACCACCAATAGAAGTTGGCACTGGATAGACGGTCCACAGTAATTTAGCTATTTGATGTAAAAATGTTTCTCCTGAGATGGGTGTAAAAGGAAAAGCTACATGGGCAGTAAAAAAAAAAATTATAGCCTCAAATTCCAATTGAAATTATCCCACAGATTATTAAACATTTTGTGGAAATCGAGAGTTTCCAAACAAAATTTCACAAGTGTTTGATGGAAGAACGGATGAATGGGCAGACAGATGGCATTACCACATATATTTCCATTTGTTGATGCTGTTGTACATCTTCTGTAGTATCAGATACTGTATGTCATAGAAGTAAAAATATTTTCTTTAGGCAACACATTTACAGTGAGCATTCATAAGAGTGATGTATGTCTAAATGTAAATGTTGAATGGACTGTGGGTGTCTGTTCTATATTTTGGTGTTACTTCCTACTGCAGTATTATCAACAGCAGTGTGAAAGAGTGAGCTCACATCCGTGACTTTGATAATTGTGACAGACACGGCTCAACAGCTGCATTAGCAACAGGCAGTACAGGATAATAGATGTGTTGCTTTCAAAGTACAGTATCTGAAAGTAGTTATGTATAAGTAAAGTGAGGATTTTAGTCAGTCTCTGTTGCTGTGGCACTTGTGTTGTGAACACTTTCTCCTGGTGGTTATGTTTTTTCCCCTTTCCAACAGAAAATAACAGGTTAGCAGGTGTGACCACTGACATCAGTACCACCTCCCTTTGGCTACAGATTTGTTTTGTGTGAAAACTACTCTTTGTGGTCTGTGCACATTTATGCTGAAAGTATCACCCAAGATTGTACTTGCATTTTGACTCACAACATCTGGGGGCGGACTAAAATCAGCATTTCACTTTGGTAAAGCATACTGTTCAGCAAAATCTGTGTGTGTACCTTCCATTAATTTGGACTTGCAGGACAGAAAGGATACACCCAGCTCTATTCACTCAAAATAAATGTGACAGTTCAGTATGGTTGTATGTATATTTTTAACACACATTCAAAGTGAATAAGTGTTGGGTGACACATACAGAAAAAATCTAGATGGTCAAAGAATGAGACACTTTGGCATCACAGGTGAAAAACAGTAGAGCAGAGATGGATGAATAGAAGCAGGAAAGAGCGGGATTGAATGAGACAGGAAATGAAAGGCTTTCTCCAGTTTCACTCCCCGTGACCTCATCAGTGTGATCATGGGTTTTATGAGCTTTCCCTCTCGACGCCCACACACCACCTCACACGTGCCAGGACACACACACACTTCATGCTGTTTATTTCACTCACTGGCTCAGAGACAAACGGACAGTACATGTTTTTTGTATCTCTCTCTGTTCATTTTCTCACACACGCTCCATCAACCTTTCACAGACTTCATCATACAACAGGACACCCGGCGGAAAAAAAAAAAAAGGCACTTAGATTCACTGACACACAAATGCTGAGAAATTGGAAAATTGTCTTTTGTGCTGATTATAGGGAGAGTATGAGGGTCTGTGTAATGAAATAACTTGGCACATAGTAGGGCAAATAATAACAAGAAGATTGTCAGGTGGTCAGCATCACCAGGGGCGTTGGTGATGGGATGCATAATAGCTTATGAAATTACATGGCCAGCAGTGCAAATGACCAACAGCAGCAGATATGATGAAAAAAAACAGTCAGCAGCAGATTCACATATAATTTAACAAAAATGGGGAATGTATTGATTTTGTGCAAACAGCAGGGGTAGTCTTTTTATGTCATTTTATGTTCTGTGGTGGTTTACGGTTGAGGAGCAGAG